TAGGGATTGCGGCAGATAAGGTTAGCTTTGCCATATTTATATATGCCAAGAATTATTATTATTTTGGACAAACTATTTATTTTAGTATGCCTGTAGTATTTGTTGAATGATTCTAAATTTGTGTGAAACTCGCATGTTTATGTAAACTTGTAGAGTAATATTGATTGCTCTCATTATTGAATAATCTCAATGTTTAAAAAAACATTCTTCACCAGGATACGATAATTATTTTCATGTATTATGACGTTACACACATGTGGACCGTCTGTAAAAATCACTTGTTTTCAAAAAATGTCTCTATACTTGCTGTAAGTTGATATTTTTACCATTAATTATATTGAAATTAAACTGGGAAAATACATAGTCTAGTGGATGCCTTAGACTTTAATTTTGAATTGAATTTTGCTATATATATATATATATTATTTATTAAAAGTAAGAGCATATTTCCATTTTTATAAGATTTCTCTCTTATATTTACTTCTCCATAATCAAAGTAAATTTCTATTAATATAAAATGCAGGTAGTTGTCAACTTAATCCAAGGGCTGGAGTTTCGTCTACTCATTAAAACAGGAAAAGTAGTTTAATCGAAACTTAAATTAATAAAATTTCGCCGCTATTTTAAGAAGGATTATCTGTATGCTGATTTAAAAAATAATCTGCTGAAAACTGTTAGCTGACCTGGCATGGCCTGCTGGTTAGCACACTAGACTCGCAATCTGAGGGTTACGGTTAAAATCCAGTCACCTATGTACTTGCCCTTTAAGTCATATGGGTGTTATAACTTGACGGTTAACCTCACTATTCGTTATTAAGGAGTATACTAAAGGTTGGCGGTAAGTGGTGTTGACTATCACTTCAAAATTAGGCACAGATAGCCCTCCAATGGCATTGTGTGCAATTCAAACAAACAAACAGCTTTTTATAGCAAACTGTGATCACACATGCGCATTTGTTGTTATTATTTTACTGGAAAACCGAAAGCTTTGAAGTTTGAAGCAGTTTTCTTGTATTAGTATCAACTGATGACTAAAAGAGTTTTTTTTTTTTTTTACTATAACTAAGTAACTATTAGTTATTTGTAAGATAATGTAGTTATCAAATATTTGATATAATAAAGTATATAATATAACGTAGTATAGCGTTCATAGGTTATTAGTTCAGAATTATAAAATAATTAATAATAAATTACAATAAAGTAGTTTTTTTTTAATTATAAAGTAGTTTTTTTCTCTAAAAAAACAACAAATAATTTGAACTTTTGGGACAAATGATGAAAATAAGATAAACAATGTTGGAAATAAAAAAAAATTCAGTTTTGTATGTAAACTCAAGGAAAGAATAAATCAGGGAAATTTAACTATGGCCAACTATAGTCTGTCATTTCAAAATTAGGGACGAATAATGTAGATCATTCTCGAGTAGCTTTGTGCAAAATTCAACCAACAAACTTTTTATTCTTCGCCAAATATTTTGAGTTTTAATTAATATTTTGGATGTTTTGTTGCAACTGTAACAATAAAATGTAAGAAACAATATTTTCTTTCCAACTGCATTTTTCTAACTATGTTTTAGTACTTCTCAGACATGATTATTCAACCAAAATACCCATTAAATACGACTATCAAGCTCAAAAGTCCATATTTAATATATCCTTCTCAACTTTGAAAACACTTCTCTGTTCTTATTATGCATACAGACTTTAGAAAGAATGAAAATATGACTATGTAGATTAAAATCAAAGTATTAGATCGTCAAGAAACTAATGTCGCGTTTTGGAACACTTTCATTAACCACCTCCCAATAAACCTACATCACGTATAATAGTTAAACAAACCGTCTAAACGTGACGTTAGTGTAGCCTATATAATGTGTAAAGTTTAGTGTACTCTAATCCATTATAGTGATGACACACGACGAGACATATATTGGCATGTAATGCTGTTTGAATACAAGAAGGGAAACAACGCCTCTGTAGCTACAAAGAATATCAAAGACGTTTATGGAAATATTTTGAGCGTTCATAGGTGTTAACAACGGTTTAACAAATTTCGTTCAGGTGACTTTAGCCTTAAAACCTGTTATGGCATGGGCCGACATATTGGAATTGATAATGATGCTCTGAAGACTCTTGTTGAGTCTAACCTAAGGCAATACACTCGTGAAAATGGCCCTGAAAGTGCATGTCTCTCATGAAACAATACGTAAACATTCAAGGAATATGGAAAAACTCCATAAAGATGATCACCGTTTCCAGCGTGTGAGTGCTGCTTCGTCTCTTCTGTCCCGTAATGCGCGTGAACTATTTTTGGACAGAATTGTCACCCGTGATGAAAAATGGATTCTCTATGCGAATATTAAACTCGAAAAACAATGGCTCAGTCCTAGACAAAAAACA